GAATAATATTCTACTACATGGACACACCATATCAGTTCTTTTCTTCACAAGCAGTAGAATCTCTTTTGCGATATAAACAAAACTACAAAAAGTACTTAGGTCCCCACATTAGTCCATAAATGCCTATTTAAGCCATATTATAGCTGAAAACTTATCATAATTGCATAATACTACGGTTTCTAGAAACATTATCAATCATCACAGTGATATCTGGATTAAAGAAATACTGAGAACGAAGCTCCTTTATAATTAAGTTAATTGCTTAAATTTTTTTCCCTGTAAATTGCAGTAGGAAGAGGAACTTGCAAGCCCTAAGGCCCGAACACCTCAGGACAAAACTACTTTTTGACTCCACCCACTTGAAGATGAACAGCAAAACGGCAAGTATACAAAGCTGGTGTCTGCAACTTCCCTCTCTTCTTGCTGGGCCCTTCATCTCTTCCCCCTATCTTTGACATTCAATACTCTTCACCCCTCCTCCTAGTTCCAAAGAAAACAAGACCTTTTATATCTGTTGACTAATTACTGCCTCACTTTAAATTAAAATATTACATTTACATGAAAATGTTAATTAAACCAGACATTTTCTAAGACATTCTCCCAAAACCTGAAATGAGAATTAGTTTCCCTGGAAAGAACTTCTGGTAGGAACAAGCTGGTAAGCGGAGAGGTTTTTGTTTTGTTTTTACCAAGAGACCCTCTCAAATCATAGTAAACCCACCCCATGGCAAATTGAATTTAGTCAGTCCTCTCAGGGTAATGCATATCTAGGAGGACAGTGAGAGAAAATAAGGAACTGTTATTAATTTTGTTAGGCGTGATAATGGTATTATGTCTAAAGATATCCTTATCTGTTAGAAATTCATACTGAGGTATTTGGACGAAATGATGTGATACCTGAAATTTGCTTCAAAATACTTTAGTTGGAAAGAGGACATGGGGGAGGGGAGATGAAACAAAATACTGATAATTGTTGAGGGTAAGTGATAAGGTACATGAGAGTTCATTATTCTTTTCTGCTTTATGTATATATAAAAATTTCCATAGTAAAATACTTTTTAAAAGAGAGAAACTGTTCTGTTCCTCTCAGGCAGTCTTTCGTTCCTTCACTTTTCCTTCGTAACACTTACTGTTGTCACTATATATTTCTTTTTTTAAGTTAATTTTTTAAAATTTATTTATTTTATTTATTTATTTTTGGCTGTGTTGGATCTTCGTTGCTGCACGTGGGCTTTCTCTAGTTGCAGTGAGTGGGGGCTACTCTTTGTTGAGGTGCGCAGGCTTCTCATTGCGGTGGCTTCTCTTGTGTGGAGCACGGGCTCTAGGCGTGCGGGCTTCAGTAGTTTGGCACACGGGCTCACTAGTTGTGGTTTGCGGGCTCTAGAGCGCTGGCTCAGTAGTTGTGGCGCACGGGCTTAGTTGCTCCGCAGCATGTGGGATCTTCCTGGACCAGGGCTCGAACCCGTGTCCCCAGCATTGGCAGGCAGATTCTTAACCACTGCGCCAACAGGGAAGCCCTAAATTAATTTTTATTGGAGTCTAGTTGCTTTACAATGTTGTGTTAGCTTCTACTGCACAGCAAAATGAACCAGCCATACATATACATATATCCCCTCCCTTTTGGATTTCCCTCCCATTTAGGACACCACAGTGCATTAAGTAGAGTTCCCTGTGCTATACAGTATGTTCCACTCAGTTGTCTATTTTATACATAGTATCAGTGGTGTATATATGTCATCCCTGTCTCCCAATTCCTCCCACCACCCCCCTTTCCCCCTTGGTATCCAGACATTTGTTCTCTACATCTGTGTCTCTATTTCTGCTTTGCAAATAAGGTCATCTATACCATTTTTCTAGATTCCACGTATATGTGTTAAAATATGATATTTTTCTCTTTCTGACTTACTTCACTTTGTATGACACTCTCTAGGCCCAGCCACATCTCTACAAATGACCCAATTTCGTTCCTTTTTATGGCTGAGTAATACTCCAGTGTATCTATGTACCACATCTTCTTTATCCACTCCTCTGTTGATGGGCATTTAGGTTGTTTCCATGTCCTGGCTATTGTAAATAGTGCTGCTATGAACATTGGGGTGCATGTGTCTTTTTGAATTATGGTTTTCTCTGGGTATATGCCCAGTAGTGGAATTTCTGGGTCATATGGGAGTTCTATAATTAGTTTTTTAAGGAACTTTCATACTGTTCTCCATAGTGACTGTATCAATTTACACTCCCACAAACACTGAAAGTGGGTTCCCTTTTCTCCACACCCCCTCCAGCATTTATTGTTTGTGCATTTTTTGATGATGGCCATTCTGACCGGTGTGAGGTGATGCCTCATGTCACTATATATTTCTAAGATTATTTTATTAATGTTTGTCTCCCTGACTAGACTTTAAGCTGCATGAGAACCACAAAGGTGTTCTGTTTAGCTCCTTTAGAATCTCTACCACCTCACAGTTCCTGGCATGTGAGAGGCATCCAACAAATATTTATTAAGTAAATAATGGAGTCAATAAAATTAAGTCATATCATGCCCCCAGATAAATAAATACTCAATAAATAAAAAGGGGGATGGTAGAAAGTCAGGGACCTTTGGTTGAAGGAATTTAACATATTTACCTATATGTATTTACCACTTAAGTTCATATGCTTTTCTATTAAAAAATGTAGTAAAGGTGTCACAAAATAGATTTAACTTCCTCTAGATAATCCTCACTACGTTCATGTGATTACTCAGCTAAGAACTACACTCTCCACTTCATGATGTGGAAACTATAGAGCTGAAAAGTTGTGAAATTTTTTCAAGGGCATAATGAACCAGATGTACAAATGAACAAAACTCAGCTCTGTCCTAATGCCTCAAGCCTCATGCTGTTCCCAAAGGAACATGATTTTATTCTCAAGAAAAAGAAAACAATAAAAATATAAAAATAAGAGTACTATATATGTTAATTCAACTTTCAGTGGCTGAGAAACTGAATAGCTAGCTGTATAACAGTCTTAGATTAAAATATTTTATTTTAGCTTCACCTAAAACAATTTCAAGGTTGAAGCACCTAATGGTAGAGGAAGTATTAAAAACATAAGGTGAGGCATTTAGGCAATAGAGAACAGAAGGCATGACACGAGTAACCTGAAGGCCTTTTTTTTAAAGCTGGTTAAATTGAAACAGTATGGTGAGGGACAACTAACAAGAAAATTCATAAAGAAATTCATAAAGAGAATAAATACTAATACCAAGACAATGTTTAAAACACCAGCGTACCCGGTTCCCAAGTTTTAAATTTATTTATCTCAAATATAATACTATAATCAATAAAGATTTCTACTTAATCATTATTTTATATAGAAATAGCCTACTAAAATACCACTATGCCCCCAAATTCTTTTGAAATACTTAAAACCTGCATTTACCTTAATTTGGTAATAGATAATGATGCACACATTCAGGAAGGCAGAAACACCAAATGTTTCCCATTAACAGAAGCGTAACTATTTGTAAAACTAATCTTAACTCAGCCAATCTGAAAGCTCTTGTACTATGGTGCCAAAAAAGTCACAACCACACCTGTGGAGAACAGTGAGAACCAAATGAGTCACAGTCTAAAAGTCTGCCACGAAATCGAATAAATAAATAAATAAATAAATAAATAGTTTTAGTTAAGAAAAAACATTTAAAATATCTCAATAAACTTACTTTGAGTACAGAGTCTGGAAAGATTTTTTTTTTTTTCTCTTACATAAAGGGTTACAAAGAGGTATCTGGCCTGGGTTGAATTCTAGACTGGGTTGCTCTACTGTTACTCAAGGCACAGTTACTACTGGTGGAGCTGCTACAAAGACTCAGAACGTTCCGTTTTACTCCTGTACTCTTCATATCATGGGCTGTCAATCATGCTTCCAACTTGCAGTACATCACTCATTGCAGAGTAATGATTCACACATGCTATTTCCAAACAAAAATGTAAGATTTACTTGCCCCATGACGCTTTCTTCTCAACTTTTAAAATAATTGATAAAAGCACCAGCTGAGCATGAATTCCCATCCTAAAATAATCTATCAATATCTTTAAGCCTTTTAAGGTAAGCGGTAAAGGAATACTGTCCTCTGAATGCAGACAACACTGCAGACCCACGCGAGGCATTGATTTGTAGTTGTTTTTCCACTGGGGTGATGGATTTGCGCTCAGCTACTCACGGTGTCTACTAGGTCCCCCTGGTGACCAACAGTACAATGAAGACAGTAGCAGGGTTCGAAGACAGACTGGCAGCGGAACAGAGGGTGGAACGGGAAATCATGAAAAATTAACACGCCAACAGTACACATGACATGACTGAAAATTACGTTTGCATTGTTGGGGTATCTGAGATCGGCCAAGACACTGTCCCCTTCCTTTTAAAACGCAAACATCCATCCGCCTCGCTTGGGCTTCGGAGCCCTACCTCCCATTTAAATCACGGGTGTGACGGAGAGACCGAACCAAGGGGTTCAGCCCGAGGCACATGCCGCTTCTCCAGGGTTTGGGAAAAACACTGACGTGACAAATTACCATAATTTTCTAAAATATGGAGGAATGACACACCACCTTTCCTACCACCTACTGAAGACTCAGGACAGAGTCGAGAACAGCCGCCCTGAGGGGCCCACCACGGAGGGGGGAGGAGAGCACCGGCCCAGGGAGAAGACGGCGGCACGTCCCGAGCCCAGACTGCGGAGCCCCGAACGCGAGGGGCGTAGGGTCGCACCCGGGTCACGTCCCGGAGCTCTCGGGATGAGAGGGGCGCGAGGGCGAGCCCGGGGCGGCCGACATGCGGGGGGCGGCGGGACAGCGGCTGGGGCTGCGGCGCCCGGGCGGCGAGGGAGGGCGCGCCGCCAGGTGCCGGACGGCAGGGGGCAGCGGGGTTCGGGCGGGCGCCGGACCCAGGGAGGGAGGAGGGAGGCGGGCGAGTCCCGCGCAGAGAGAGGGCGCGCGGCGGGCTCGCCGCCGGCCTACCTGGAGGTAACAGGGTTTCCTTAGCCAGGCCCCCGGACAGAGACTCCTCGCCATGGTAATCACACATCGCCCCGCCGCGCCGCAGTCAGAGGCGGACCCGAGCGCTGGCGACCCGGTTCCCCGCCTTCCCCCGCCCCCAGCTCGGCCGGGCCCGCCCACTCCTCCGCCCCCGCGGCGGCGCGCGCCGCGCTTCCCCCGGCCCTGCTGCGGTGACTGCAGCCGGCTGCCCGAGGCCCGGCCTCCTGCTCTGCTCGCCGGGCTGCCGGGGCTGTCAGAGCTGCCGCCGTCTCCGGCATAAAGGGGAGTCGCGCCTCGCCTCGGCCGACACAAATCCAACTGCGCCTCGCGCTTAAAGGGGAGGCGTGCGGAGGAGGGGTGGGGCGCCGCGGAAGAGGGGGTGTCGCACGCTCGGCGCCAGGAGGGGCTGGTTGAGCCGGGTGAGGGCTTGCGCCCCGCGGACGGGAGAGCCCGGCGCTCAGACGTCGCCGACCTGAGTGACTGTTCCCGGCTTCCCGCTCCCAACGCTGCGCGTCCCCACCCCGCCCGGAGGGTCTGACGCTCCCTTTGGACTCTGCTCCTTCAGGCCGGACGTGTCTGGGCGGGTTGCGTGGAAATTCAAGGGAAGCTTGGGGCTCCTTCCCGGGGGACCGGCTTTTTCTCCTTGGAGCACGGTGGTCCGTTTGGCCGCGGGAGGCGCCGGCGGGCGCATCCCCTGAGCGAACGCAGACGGGGCTCTCCTCTGCTGAAGTCAACGTGCCCGCCAAATACAGTCCTCTAACGGCCTTCAACTTTTTTCCTGAGTACTTTTTAGAAAGTCTGACCTTTTAGGTCTGTATTGTTTTCAGACAGCTTCAGAGTTTTCCTGGCCCCACCCAGGAACCCTGAGTCAAAAGAAAAAAGAAAAATATTACTGAATTAAATACAGTACTGAAGACAGGAGACCTGGGACGTGGCATAGCTACTCAGTTAAGGCTACATAACACAGGGTGTGGTGTCTTTCTTTTGACAGTGAAGTCCAAATAAGGGAAAAAACAGCCACCCTAGCGGGAAAACAGCTGTTGATCCTAGCAACTTGTAATGGAGGAAGATATGTTTTTGCTTCTTTTTACCCGGTATACCACCTTTTCACGTGACGCCAACAAAGTTTAGGTGGCCACTTAGAACTCATTTGGGCCTGTTGCTCTGACAAAAGGTTTCCCCAGAAGCAAACATTTACTTACTATTACTGTGGTTTTTACCTAAGCTTTGTTCTAGTGCTTTCCGTTTATGAAGAGATGCTTTCTTGTCCGCCCCCTCCCCCAGTCCAAGCACAGACACAGGTTTAAAACCTGTGTGGTATTTTATTACCACGTATAAAACTCAGAGGAAAACATAGGAAGACCACTCTTTGACATAAACCACAGCAAGATTTTTTTGATCCACCTCCTAGAGTAATAGAAATGAAAACAAAAATAAATGGGACTTAATGAAACTTAAAAGCTTTTGCACAGCAAAGGAAACCATAAAGAAGATGAAAAGACAACCCTCATATTAGGAGAAAATATTTGCAAACGAATCAATGGACAAAGGATTAATCTCCAAAATATATAAACAGCTCATGCAGCTCAATATTCAAAAAACAACCCAATCCAAAACTGAGCAGAAGACCTACATAGACATTTCTCCAAAGAAGACATACAGATGGCCAAGAAGAACATGAAAAGCTGCTCAGCGTCACTAATTATTAGAGAAACGCAAATCAAAACTACAATGAGGTATCACCTCACACCAGTTAGAATGGGTATCATCAGAAAATCTACAAACAACAAATGCTGGAGAGGGTGTGGAGAAAAGGGAGCCCTCTTGCACTGTTGGTGGGAATGTAAATTGATACAGCCACTATGGAGAACAGTATGGAGGTTCCTTAAAAAACTACAAATAGAATTACCATATGACCCAGCAATCCCACTAGTGGGCATATACCCAGAGAAAACCATAATTCAGAAAGACACATGCACCCCAGTGGTCACTGCAGCACTTTAGAATAGTCAGGTCATGGAAGCAGCCTAAATGCCCATCGACAGATGAATGGTTAAAGAAGATGTGGTACATATATACAGTGGAATATTACTCAGCCATAAAAAGGAACAAAATTGGGTCATTTGTAGAGACGTGGATGGACCTAGAGACTCATACAGAGTGAAGTAGGTCAGAAAGAGAAAAACAAATATCGTCTATTAGTGCATATATGTGGAATCTAGACAAATGGTACAGATGAACCAGTCTGCAAGGCAGATATAGAGACATAGATGTAGAGAACAAACGTATGGACACCAAGGGGGGAAAGCGGCAGGGGTGGGTGCTGGTGGTGTGATGAATTGGGCGATTGGGATTGACGTGTATACACTGATGTGTATAAAATAAGTAACTAATAAGAACCTGCTGTATAAAAAATAAAAATTAAATTAAATTTTAAAAAACCCTGTGTGGTATTTTATTGCTGGCAAATAAACCCGTTTTTCATTGATTTTCAGTTTGGGTTAAGAGACTAAGGTAATTTCTAAGTATGATAAGTATTGGTTTAATTCGTTCTTTCATTCATTCAATAAATAAATATTAATTGAGCACCCAGACATTGTTCTAGTTGATTGGTTATATACTTGAGCAAAATACAAAAACCCCAGGGCTTGTGGATATTACATAAGTATAAGTAATAACAAGTAATAAATGTAATAAACAAGAAAATCAAATAGGATAATAAAGCTGATAGGTGATATGTAAAAAAGAAAACAAACCAATGGAGATGAGGAAGACTAAAGGTAGAGTTGCTTTGGGGAGAAAGATCAGGAATTCAGTTTTGGACTTTGTTACATTTGAGATATCTATTAGAAATTCGAGTGGAGACCTTGAGTAAGCAGTTGTACATATGAGTCCAGGGTTAAGAAGGGTGGTCCAAGCTAGGGATATATGAGAGATAGCCGCATTTTTTTTAAAGATGAGAGTTATGTTTTATTCGGTCCCGTTACTGAGGACTGCAGCCCAGGAGACAGATAGCTCTGAGGAACTGTACCGAAGAGGTAAGGGAGGAGCCCAGATATATAGGCGTTTTTGCCAGTTCAGTAGTATGATCTAAAAGTCATCAGAAACTTATATTTGTCAAAAAGTAGAGAGGTGTCAGAATTTAAATGATATTTAAAGCCACAAAACTAGACAAGATCACCAAGGGAGTGAGTATAAATAGAAGAGAAGCAAGGAGGAAACCTTGCAACTTCAAGGCAGGAGAGTGGATGAGCCAGCAAAGGAGGCTGAGAAGGAACAGCCAGTGAAGTAGGTGAGCCAAGAGTGAGGTGCCTGGAAGCCAAGTGAATATAATGTTATCAAGAAGGTGTGAGTGCTCAGTATGTGAGTGAGGACTGAGAATTGACTATTGGATTTGGTGCCATGGAGCCACTGGTAATATTTCAGTGGAGCAAAAGGGGAAAAACGATTGGAATGGGTTTAAGAAAAAAATGGGAGGAGAGGAATTGGAGATAGCTAATATTATAGGCAATTCTTTTGAGAAGTTTTCCTGCAAAGGGGAGCCCCAAAATGGTGATGGGGAGCCCACTACCACAGTAACTGGTGGTGGAAGTGGAGCCAAAAGTGGATTGGCAAAAAAATTGGGAGAAATATTTGTTTTTGATGAGAATGATCTAGAAGATAAGGAAAATTTTACGAAGGGGCAAGAAGAGAGAATTGCTGGAGCAGTGTCCTTGAGAAGGAAAGAGTTTAGAATCTAGCACACAAATGAAAGGATTATCTATAGACAGGAGCACAGTCTGTTCATCTATGGAAACTGGCAGGCAGGTGGTAGAAGTGGCGGTGGGAATCTGTGGAAGTTCTCTTCTGACTGTTTCAGTTTTCTCAGAGACATAGGAAGTCAGGTCATCAGCGGGGAGGAGATTCAGAAGAGCAAGGGAAGGTGAAGAGAGAAGCGAAGGTGCGGAATAGTCATCCAGGAGAATGGAAAGATGAATAGACTAGGAAAAAAATATCATATGCTTGCTGAATGTCATTAAGGGCCCACTTGAGTTCATGGTCATAAATTTAAGTGGGATAAGTCAGTGTGCTTGTGCTTTTTTTCCTCCAGCAATAATTGACTGCCAGGATGCAGGCTCAGAGTCGGCTTAGAATTCTATGTAATCAGGTTTTACCAAGGAAATAAGAGCAAGGAGAGAGGACCAAGGAAGTCAAGGATGTAAGTAAGGGAGTGATTATGATTCACTGTGGAGTTTAAAATGAGGGAAGAGTAGATATGGAGAGATTAAGGACAGAAAAAGGTGGTAAGATCAGTGAATTGCCAGTCCTTGTGGGGTTGAGGGACTGTAGGAGTCAGAGAACAAGGGGGAATGATCTGAAAAGATAGGTATAACATGAAGGGTCTAGCTCCATTTTTGATACTCAATGACAGCTATCAAGCCCTACCACTTCTCTTTTCTCTGTGCCCGACATCTGGGAAAGCTGATAAGAAAGCCCAGGTGCTCGCTCCTTTGGTGTCAGTGGGAAGTTCAAACTATGCAAGACCCAGTCCATGTGAAGGACCATTCACCCTGGCCCCATCCACTCCCAGCCACCATAAACCCTAAGAAAGTCTCCTTTCTCTGCTCCCTCAAGCCATATTCAGATCAGTTTGGAGCCTGCCCTGCTCTCCCCAGAAAGCTTCTTTATGTATGCAGCAAACTTTTTCATACTCTGAAAAAGTTGGTACATGTGTAGCATCATCAATCTTGACATCCAACACAAAATTTAAGTAGAGGAATCTTTCTCACTTCTGCAGAGTGACCACAACAATGTGGTAGTTAGAATGGGATGCATGAAATTAAGATTATGAAGAAGTGATGAAGTCTAGGGTGGAATCTGAAAATGGCAGTGAATGGCTGAGGAGTGTGGAATACAGTGTCACTAGAAGAGAGTCAAAGAGAGAGTATCATGAGGATTATCTATGTATATATTAAAAACAACAAGATTTAGGACAAGGGAGATGCTGGATAGGATGCCAGTAGTCAAAAGCTAAAATCCTTGAGAAATAAGGCAGAGTGATCTATGAGCGAGTTAGGGGACTACCACAATGAGGAGAGTGATAACATCAGAGGACATGAGTTAAAAAAACAAATA